GGCTGCTAACCTCAGGGTCAGCAGTTTGAAACAACCAGCTATTCCGTGGGAGAAATATGAGGCTTTCTGCTCCCATAAAGATTGACAGCCTCGGAAACCCTGTACAGGGTCGCTATAAGTAGCAACTGACTCCACGGCACATAGCAACAACAAATCTATATGAGAGCAGAAAGCCTCATCTTTCTTCCTTGGAATGGCTGGTGAGTTTAAACTGTTGACCCTGTGGTTAGCAGTCCAGTGCTTATCCTACAGTGCCACCATTGCTCCATAATCTAGTTCTGTGTTTTTAGGTGCCTTCAAGTTGGTTCCAACTTATAGCAACTCTATGTACCACAGAAAAAAATACTACCCAGTCTTGTGCCATCCTCACAATGGTTATATTTGAGCCCATTGGTGCTGCTACTGTGTCAATCGATTTCATTGGGAATTCTTCCTCTTTTTTGCTGACCCTCCACCTTACCAAACATGATGTCCTTCTCCAAGGACTGTCCCCTCCAGACAATATGTCCAAAGAACAAGAGGCGAAATGTCACCATCCTTGCTTTTAAGGCGCATTCTAATAGTACTTCTTCCAAGACAGATTTGTTAGTTCTTTTGATAGTCCATGGCACTTTGAATATTTTTTTACACCATCATTCAAATACGTCTGTTCTATTGTTTGTTGTTAGGTGGCATTGAATCTGTTCCTGTTCATATTCCTGGGGACCCCATGCACAACAGAATAAACATTGCCAGTCCTATGCCATCCTCACAGTTGTTTGAGCTCATTGCTGCTACTATCAATCCACTTCCTTGGCTGGGAGGAAGTATCTTCCTCTTTTTCACTGAACCTCCACTTTACCAAGCATGATGTCCTTCTCTAGGGACTAGTCCTTACTGATAACATGTCCATAGTTGGAGAGACAAAGTTTGACCATTCTGGTTTATAAGGAGCATTCTGGTTGAACTTCCTGAACCAAGACAGATATTTTTGTTCTTCTGGAAATTCATGATTCTTCTGTGGTCTTCCTTATTCATTGTCCAGCTTTCACATTGCATATGAAGCTATTGACAATACCATGACTTGAATCAGGTACACCTTAGTCTTCAAAGTGACATCTTTGCTCTTTTAATACTGTAAAGGAGTCTTGTGCAGCAGATTTGCTTTATGCAATTCGTTATTTAGCTTTTTGACTACTGCTTCCCTAAGTGTTGGTTGTGGGTCCAAGCAAAATAAAGTCTTTGACTACTTCAATCTTTCCTGTTTTTCATGATGTTGTATATTGACCCATTGTAAGGATTTTTGTTTTCTTTACATTGAAGTGCAATCCATACTGAAGACTAGTTTTTGGTGTTCATCAGTGA